ATTGCAGGTGCCCATGTCGTGTTTGCACCTTCCATTTGCTTAACATGGCTTTTAATTTCCCCTGTGGGCTTTAAAGGGAATCTATCAGTGCCGGAAATATGTCTATTTTTTCCAGGGGTCTGAAGCAAATGGAAGTGTCGTGATTGCACATTTCGTGAGCCCTGTCACGTTCTTCTTCGTCTTTAGGCAAGGCCGACGCTCTGGACTTGCACAGCTTCCTGAAGTGGGCGGTGCACAAGCAGATGAGCCACGAGGATTGCTGAAGTCGCATCCGAAAAAGCAATCGTCTCTTTGTCTCTGTGGGTGTCAACCCTTGGGTTGCATGGCCTGATGTTTTTGTTGTTTTTCGGGAAACCAAAAGGAAGCCACACCTCGAAGGTGGCCAATTCCCATTTGAGCCACTCACTCCCTGAGTTCCTGGACTTACAACTTTTTGGGAAGGAAGACCAATTTCGTGGTAAATAAAACAAAAGTTTCGACTTTCTTGTCCAATCCACTCGCTGGAAGCTTTGGCCGCCGTTCCTTAAAAAAATGGTCGCCGCCGCCTAGCGCCTCTTTCTGCAGAAAAAAACGATCCAGCGATTGGGCCAGGGCGGCTTTCAGGGCCGGGCCAACAAGCTGGTGGATTCCTGCTACTCCTTTTGGCAGGCGGGTTCGCCCAGTCGGTGGGGTCTCCGGACGTCCAGTCGCTCGGGTCGGTCGCAAAAAACGAGGTCTGGACGGGAGAATCTCAAAGTTGGGATCTGACGTGGAGAAAGGGGGCCCGGTTGGTTTCCTTTACACGAGCAACCAAAAAGGGGCTCCCCAAATTGGGAAACACCATTGCTCGATGACAGAAAAAGGGGGGTCTGCAAAGATTTGGACCCTGTTGTTGTGCTGTTAGGGGAAGCCAAAGGAAAACCAATCACGAGGGTTCCGCATGGCTCCGCAATTTCAGGACCCTATGTTCACTGGCCTATCGTTGGTGCATTCCAAACGGGTAAATGGGGATGTGTAAACAGGAGAAAGGCTCACTGAATATGACCCTGCAAAGCAAAGCAAAACCAGAGGAAACGAGACATGCAAGCAAGAAAGCACTATAGAAAACGGACAAACAAACAAACAAACAAACAAACAAACAAACAAACAAACAGGAAGCAGGAAGGAAGGAAGGAAGCAAGGAAGCAAGGAAGCAAGGAAGCAAGGAAGCAAGGAAGCAAGGAAGCAAGGAAGCAAGGAAGCAAGGGAGGGAGGAAGCAAGGAAGCAAGGAAGCAAGGGAGGGAGGAAGCAAGGAAGCAAGGGAGGGAGGAAGCAAGGAAGCAAGGAAGCAAGGAAGCAAGGAAGCAAGGAAGCAAGGCAGCAAGGAAGCAAGGAAGCAAGGGAGGGAGGAAGCAAGGAAGCAAGGAAGCAAGGAAGCAAGGAAGCAAGGAAGCAAGGAAGCAAGGAAGCAAGGAAGCAAGGAAGCAAGGAAGCAAGAAGCAAGGAAGCAAGGAAGCAAGGAAGCAAGGAAGCAAGGAAGCAAGGAAGCAAGGAAGCAAGGAAGCAAGGAAGCAAGGAAGCAAGGAAGCAAGGAAGCAAGGCAGCAAGGCAGCAAGGCAGCAAGGAAGCAAGGAAGCAAGGGAGAGAGGAAGCAAGGAAGCAAGGAAGCAAGGAAGCAAGGAAGCAAGGCAGCAAGGAAGCAAGGAAGCAAGGAAGCAAGGAAGCAAGGAAGCAAGGCAGCAAGGCAGCAAGGAAGCAAGGAAGCAAGGAAGCAAGGAAGCAAGAAAGCAAGAAAGCAAGAAAGCAAGCAGGCGAACCCAATCAAACCCACGCAATCACAAACAAACGCAACACCACAATCATTTAAAAACATGAACCGGGAAGCAACTCAAGCCAGCAAGCAAACAAAAACAGGCAAAAAGAGAAAGGGAGAGCGAAGGGAGTGAGAAGTAGAGGGAAATGTTTGTGCGTGTGTGAGTGTGTGTGTGTGTGTGTGTCTGTGTCTGTGTCTGTGCCTGTGTCGGTGTCTGTGTCTGTGTCTGTGTTTGTGTCTGTGTCTGTTTCTTTTTTTCTGTCTTTCTTTCTTTGCTTGTTCGTGTCCGCTTGTTTGTTGGTAGCTCGGGGTTTCTGTCTTTGTTGCTTTCTACGTTTGTGCTCTCAGCGTCCGAAAACCTCTCCGCACAGGGCGCCATCTTCCCTCTGCTGCATGAGGCCTTCAGACAGAAAGGCAGGCCTGTAAACCGCTTCAACGGTGATCCGGGCTTCCTCCCTTGGGCCACGAGAAAGCCATAATGTTGCCAGGGGGTCTTTTTGCCACCTTTTGTGAGAAAATTGGCGACCCCCTCAAAAAGGAATCAAAGGTGGCAAAAAGACCCCCCTGTAATGTTGATCCCGGATTCACAAAAGCCTCAGTTTGTGAATGGGAAGTTGCTATTTGCTGGGTGAAACGTCGGAATCCACTTTTGGAGGGGGCCCCACCCCTAGTATAAACTGGGGTTGATTTATATGCGGTCAACACCAACCGTCACTCGATTTGATGTGTGGGAACGAGGATTTATCCAAAAAGGTTGTAGCGCATACCTTGACACATCCAGTGCTGAACGAAGAGCTGAAAGCTGACCTGAGCTAGGGCTAAATCCCACATTTGCTTTGAAAGGGGTGTTTAAACAGAGGCAGAGAATTTCTAGGGGTTGATTCCCCATTCTTTTCAACCATCGTTCTTTTGGATTGTCTGGAAAGAAGGATCCCTGGAAAGAATGGAAGTGTCCCCTAGCTTAGGCGTTTTTGGGGGGCTCCTTTGCGGGAACAAAGTAATGGCGCAGAAGGCTTCGGCCGAGAGACCGATTGTGGAGAGATGCGTTTTGAAGAGACTCCGGGTTGCTCCGACATGTCCGGGCCATTACAAGATTGGTAAGGATCCGGTCGTTGTGTTTTTTTCTTTTCCGGCCATGTTTTCCCTTTTTCACAGGTCTTAAGAGCAGCTCTAGGAGTGATATACTGGGGTTCAAGCATGGGACATGTGTGCAATTCTGGCTAAGGCTGCAATGCAATTGTTGTAGTTCATGTCTCGTAAACTGTGTACTGTAAGGGCCGAAATGATTAATTAGGAGCAGGGTGTGGGGTACTTTGAAACTAAGTCACGACCACAAGAGAATAAAGTGTGGCGTTGTTTATCCCTTATTGTTTGTATGTTATGCAGCAAACATAGAATGTGAATCTGGGCAATAGAAACACTCGCTGACCTGAATATATGGCTCAGAGTTTGATGGCTTGTGTCAATGTGTCAAGTCGAGGTGCCACCCAGCTGTTCGCTGTATTGGACGGAAGCTACAGACAATGGAAGTATAAGTTCGGATTATGACGGCTCGCAAACCAGCTATGGTTTTGTTTGTTGGGTGCTTGTTTGTTTGTTTGTTTGTTTGTTTGTTTGTTTGCTTGCTTGTTTGTTTGTTTGTGTTTTATTTTTTGTTTTTGTTTTTTTGTGCGGGGGGGATTGTTGGATATGTTGTCAGATCACAGAGGCGCTCAGCAATGAACAATAGCAGCCTCGCATTCTGCGATCGGAGCCGCTCGAAGTGAGAATGCTGAATTGCTCTTCCGCTGTTTGCAGTAAGGCAATTACTTCCCCGCAAGTTGCCACGGAGCCCAAAAATGGGTTGCGCAAAACCGGTGCTCCAAAATGGTTGTTGTGATGCCATGTAAATCTGGGGGGGAGGGCTGCTTCACCCCAACTGCTCGGAGGGCTTCGCTTGCACAGGCGGAAGCATGCCGCTGCCTGACGACCACTGCTGGTTCTCCCCACAGCCGCCTCATCCTCGGGACTTGGGGGACTCGGGACAACGTGCCCGGCAGTTGGCCAGTCGAAAGAGCCAAAGGCCTGCCCACAACCCAAAAAGGTTCTTAGAACCTTACTGGTAGAAGGGTTCTGAGAGCCATTCTGGCTGGTACGGATACAATCCAATCCGATTGCCTCGTTTGGACTTGATTCCATGATCCCCCTCATGTTGGAATGGGCCAATGTGTTCTCGTTCTACGGACAGCTCAATCGAAGTATCCTGACTGATGGCTCCTAGTCAAACATTCAAGCTTGGGTACCTTACTTAATGCTGGTGCGGTCGTCAGCTTGCTAGGGATTTCAGAGTGCAAGCAGTTTGCATCCAACGGCCATTGTTTCAACGGGGACCCCACAAGCCACCTGCCCCAAGCCCCCTCAATAAATTCTAGGGGTACCTTCCCCATTCTTCCCAGGGATCCTTCTTTTCAGGAGACCATCAAAAACCCAGGTTGGAAGCCGCCGGTGTTTGAAAAGAAGGATGGCTGAAAAGAATGGACAAGGAATCAAGCCCTAGAGTTATCATCAGGTCTGGGATTTTCTCAAAATCGTGGACCCATTGGTAAGGGAAACCTGAAGGAATCCGCCTACCATGTCCCTACAGAACTCCTACAGAACATCCAATCCACCATTTTTTTCCTGGGCTCGGCCACCTGGCCGACTTTCCCACCGGGAAGGTCTTAGAGTCGACTCGGGGGAATAGGTGCCCAATGCCTGGCGAGGTTGCAGATGTACCTCTTGCTCGCTTGCCACGGCCTTGTGGCGAACAGACACCATCCGTCCATATGCTTAAGAATATGTTGTATGTTCCCTTGTTGGTTTTAAGGGGAATCCATCATTACTGGCAATCAACAAATACAAATTATTTAGCAAAAATATGGGGCTTAATCAAATGGAAGAATCCGCGTCAGTTGAACAAAGTTGCAGTCTGCCAAAGTGCGAGCCTCTTTGCTGGTCCAATCACTTCATGGTCACCCGTGGAACGGCCTTCCTGCCCAAAAAGGGGTTTGTCCCATTTTTGGGGGGGGACAAAAGCGGGTTTGTCTCAAAATTTCTGTGGGTCAAAAATGGGTACCCAAAATGGAACCCTGGTGAACGGAAACAAAGACTAAAGCCGCGTAACCCTAGCTCTTTAATTTTGAGCCACACCCAAATGACCCTAGCTCTTTAGTATTTGTTTCCTCTGTGAGTTTTAAAGGGAATCTATCA